GGAGCGTTTCTCCAGCTTCTCCCTCCTCTTTCTGAAGCTGAACTTTCGCTCCTTCTTCTCCTCCACCTCCCGGGGGCTGTGGCCCAGTAGGATTCCGAGCATGCAGTAAGGGTCGCTATACCCTGGTGGGTAGCAGTGGGAAAAGGTCACAGCATGAGAAAGACCGTTTTCTGTCACTCTGATGACAGCGTCACAGCACAGAGATGAAGGGCAACGCTGCAGTTAGACACAGCTTTGTGTTAATCCCTTGTCAGTGCAGTGGACGTCACTGCATTTGTCTCTCTTTGTCTCTGTTCTAAAGCAAACGGCAAGTGGACGCAATTAGTTATGGATAGAAATGGCAAAAGGAAGTAGTAATTGTGACACAGAATTTGGGGTTTGAAATTAAATCAATATTTAAATTAATAATTGCAATAATAAATACATTCATGGGTTTTTTATATGCATTTGCATTTATACTCATTATTTGCCATTTATACGCTTGCCTTTTTTTTTTTTTTACATCAACATAATTCTATTCCTGTTACGGCCACATTGAGAAATAAAGAATAAATACAATTATGACATTAAAATGTAATTTTCAGAGAATAAAGTCGAAACATTACGAGAATAAACCCGAAATGCTACGAGAAAATGTCGTAAATTTACAACAACAAACGTCCATTTAAACTCCACTTGAGACAATAATTGCTGTCATTTCTTCTAGAAACATACCTGAAACATACACACAGGCGGTGCAGTGTATTAACCCACCAAGACCACTTGTGCTAATACAGCCATGCTTTGTGTTTAACAGCTGTACTGCTCTCAAGTGTTGTCTGATGTGGTGGGTGGTGAATCACTTGAAGGGTAATTGAGTGAGTGTCTACTTAAAAATTCTTTCGACTCTACGGTCGTAGCATTGTGAGAGACCTTTGTCTCAGCTAGTTTGCTTTTATTAGAAGGATGACTTATTTTATTGCTGGTCACATCTCACCATTCGCGTCCTTGGCCATCAGATTCTTTGCCTTCATAACAGAGACTCTCAAGGAAAACGTGGCTCTCTGTGAAAGAAAAAGTAATTGCAATGCTTTTAATGCGGTACAGACAGTAAAGTATGATGCTTTTCACGATGTGATTTTTTTTTTTCATGGGGAACATCAGCTGATTTCTTTTAAGGGTGAAATCTATAAAATAAAACTGAGTTTTGACCCTCAAACAAATCATTGGGAATTGTTGATGTGAGGGCCTAAAGGCAGCACGACAGGCAGAGTTCGAAACAGAAAGTGAAAGTGAATTATTCGTGAGCAGGGGGGCAGTAGTGTAGTGGAGACGGTGCCATGCTCAGGGCACCTGACTGGCAATTCGGCAGCTGCTGGACTCGAACCTGAAACCTTCCGAACCCAAGTCCACGTCCTTACAACACCAAGCCACCACAGCCCCAGGCAAACAGAGTGTTTAACAGACGTGGGCAGAAAACATCACAGGGCGGACTCTCTCAGAATTGGTTCCGAAACGCACACAGCTGCTGAGGAGGAGGGGGACGCTAAGGGAAGATGGGGAGTCCCCGTAGTGTTATGTTGGCAAGCACAGAAGATTGGAGAGTGCTAACAGTGGAGCAACCCAAATACTGTAAATTGCTCCCCCTCATCAGCTGGCAACATGGGAGGGATTGGGGGAATCTCTGCTTAGCATCTCTTGTTCTGTCGCCAGATGTTTCAGTATTCAGCTCGGAAACAAGAAAGCAGTAAGCAGGAAACTTGGGGCAAAAATTAGGGCAAGGACCGGGGAGACGCTATTATGAGGTTTTGAAAGCAGCACTTGACTGATCCTTCACCTGCATTAAAGTGCTACGCTGTTCAAGTAAGTGCTGTGTCCCAAAAAGAATACATAATGAGATACAATGATGTTCTAGTTTCAAAGTACTTTGTATTAAACTCTGGCCTGTTTAGTTAAACACCACCCTGATATAGTCGCAGGAATTGAAGACAGACACAGATATTTAGATGTTCTCCAACAGCTCAGAGTCGCGCTTTCTTTTCTAAAAATAGCAGTTATCGCAAAATCACAGAAGTAGGTTATCGAAAGCAGAAGCAAGGCTGAAGTAGCCCTTATTTTAAATAATAAATACTTTTGAGACCAATTGCGTGACAGAAATACCATCAGTATTTATGACATCACTTGCGGTAAATAAATAATAAATACTTTTGAGACTAATTGCGTGACAAAAATACCATCAGTATTTATGACATCACTTACAGCTAGTGTTGGGAACGTTTCTTTTAAAAAGTCATTCATTAGAGTTACTAGTAACTTCTCCCAAAAAGTAACTGAGTTAGTCATTGAATTACTACACAATAAAAGTAACTAGTTACCAGGAAAAGTAACTATTGTATTACATTTATTTTTAGTTTCAAAGTGTTTAAGAATTAGTTTTGGTTTTTTTTTTTTAAGCGAGTTTAACAAACCAGAACTGCATAGACAGGTACTCACACTTAATTTTTTAATACCTATTGCACCTCAACAGACCACAACTGGCAGACATACTGTGTGGTTGTGGCTGTGTGCGTGTGTGATTTGCCTCTGATTGGCTTACCCACTACCAGGAAAGCTTACTCTGCCCTGTCCAATCATCATCAATTATGCGGTTGCCTCGTCCCTCCCTCCACCCACACCACAGAGCGTTAGGTGACAACAGCTGTAACAGTAACAGCGTTGTGAAAGTGGAAATAGTAATTAGATAGATTACCCATTACTGAAAAAATAAGGCTGTTAGTAACACAGTTTGTTTTAACTCCGTTATTTCCATCACTGCTCATGGTGAACAAAGTCAGAGGTCCCAACTTTTTTGTTGTGATATAACTGCATTCTCTTCGAAAGAAGTAAATTAGTAAAATTTAAAGTACTTTTTTTTCACTGTGTTCCACTGCGGCCCAGTACCAAATGAACTAGGGACCGGCATCGGTCCCCAGACCAGGGGTTAGAGACCCTTGCATTAAGTGGATAGAAATGACTGTTTTGGAGCCAAGTCTGCCTTGGCCTCTTCAGCGGTAAAAATATCGGGCTGGTAAACAAACAGGTTGGAGCGGTTTGTAATGAGAGGACAGCAACACTGTAGGTTGCCAGTTTAGAAATCCTCATTCTTGTATTCATAAACAGGTCGGCAGGATAGCGGTACTGAAACAGTGGGCGAAATGTGAATTGTACAAAAGCAAGTCATTGTTTATCCATAATGGACATAACAGTCATCTTTTGCTCTGCATGGTGGAGATCCTGTTGCTGCTGGATACTGAAGCCCGCTCTCAGTTTCATGACTGTGATGGCACAACACTGGCTGGGTCAATTTCTTTGTGTAATGAGTCCAGTGAGGACCCAGTTGGTAGATTTGTATGAGAATTGCCCTGGTAAGGACTCTGACAAAGAAATGACTTGGTGTAGAGTTGAGTCTTACACTGATTGTTGTACTTGATGCTAATGAGTTTCTGTCGACGACACAGGTGAACAGAATAAAGGTTATTATTATGGAGATTTTGGCTGCAGCTGTGAAGGTCTGGACCATGAAATGGACCAAGTATTATATTGCCAAAACAATTTTTTACAAATTGTTGAGATAATTCCAGTGTTTACTCGCTTTACGCAGCAATCTAATCATTACAACGTAGAAAATGTAAAACTATGTGTCCATATTCATTTTAAAATGGGCGACTAAAACACTATATGTTGATATGTTATACGTAGAATAATTATCAATTTCAGTTTATCTGAAGAGAGACAGAAAATGTAGGATTTTATTATTATAGTTTTTTTTTTCCCCTGCCTGTTGGTGGGGGCGGGGGTGGGGGTCTTACCTTGGACTCTTGCACTTTCTGAAGAATGATATCATGTTCCTCTTCACCCATGTCAAACACCTAGAAGAAAATACTTTTAATGAAGTAGAACTGTTCAGTTCAATTTCTTAATATTTTTATCCCCCTAAATTCACAATACACTTTCTTTCCTAATAGGTAGTCAATATACTTACAAATTTAAGAAGAGGTTTGCCTGTTAATTCAAAAGACACTGTCGGCAACCTCTGAATGTGGATAGTCTTTATACATACAGTTGTTCTTCTTTACAGGCTAAATTACAAAAAACTAAATTAACTCGGAATATTCCCAATACATCACCATTTAAACAGTCACTGACGAAACTCAGACTACTACATGGGCTTTAATGTTGCAACCAAACGTCTGCGTCTAAAATATCTCCAAAGTCATAAATGTAAATCATCCAAAGCAGCAGCGTCAAAGCAGCGTGAATTTAGAAGAATAATTCGCTGAAAAACTTCCTTTTGTCAGAGCCAGCGTCTGAGCTGCTGAGAACAAACATCTTTGGATAAAAGGGAGGACACCCACTCCAGTCAAAAGGAGTGTGAGTGTGAAGCCAGAATGAATGTGCTGTATGATCACAGCTGAATATCGACACTGCTTTGATTGTTAGTCAGATTTTGGTCATGAACATCTGCTGTTATTTCCATAGCCTCGCAACAATTAACACTTTCTCTAAGGCAGTGCTTCGATCTGTGGGAAGGAACTGCTTGATGCCTAGATATGGAATCAAAGTCGGTCAGTACCTTGAGCAGATAAGCAAACAGCTCTTCGTCACTTTTCACATGTTCGGATGAAGGTACCCCCACCCTGTTCACCACTGTGTACACAGCCTCTTCATAAAGCAGGTCCAGCTACAGGAAAAAAAAAATATACTTCACTCAACATCGTGTCTCCCACATAACTCCACCATTATAATAGAGAATTTCTTTTTAAAAAAAGATCGAAATTCTCAGAAAAACAACCTCAGTCCTGCTGATCCTGTCGGGGATAAAAGCCTGGTCCATGTGCTCCTGGGGTGGTGGCACCATGCAGTCCCCTTTATGGCACTGTGAAGCGACAAAATCAGGTCAGCCGGAAAAAAAAAGAAAACTTACTTACTCACTTATCTACTTGGATATTTCACAACGAAAAAAAAAAGAAAACTGAGAAAAACTCACTTATCTACTTGGATATTTCACAAATTTATATATGTGTATGTGTAAATATATGTACATATATACACAAAATATATATATTAATTTACTTATAATTATTATTAATATTATTGCATTATAGATATATAGGTATATTATGTTAATATAAATATAAATATTATCAAACGATTTCTAAATCTTCCAACCCAATTCCATTACCATTGTGGTTAGATTGCAGTATATAACATACAAAATGTAAAAATCAATAATATTGAATATTATATATTCATATTTAATATTGAAATCGTTCTTTTAAATCAATTAGGAAAACAACTACATTACATTAATTATAAGATCAATGTGTGCTTCACTACATCACTACTGTGTATTGCTTCGGAGCATTTACTCTTAACAACGCACAATTTATTGTTTACAATATCAAATGGATACCAAGTAGAGATCAAGTAAGCACAACTTTGTCGTATTGATCAAATCTATCATCTAACCTATTTTACAGTATATACCAGGGGTCCTCGGTTTACGACGTCCTTGAGGCAAGCGGAGCAGATGAATACATCATTCTTTATGACTCCCAGGCATAAGTCAGACTCTTCTGATGTTTTAATGTCCTAGATTATGTATACGGTACACTATATGTGGTGACATCCAACATTCCGCCGCAAGTCGGTGAGTGACATCCAACATTCCGCCGCAAGTCGGGCCATACATTAGATTTTGTTACAGTAGCTTTCTTTCGTTTGTGTTGTTTTTTTTTTTTCATTCTTTATGACTCCCAGGCATAAGTCAGACTCTTCTGATGTTTTAATGTCCTAGATTATGATGTTACCACTGTTAGGTGAGTGACATCCAACATTCCGCCGCAAGTCGAGACCCCTGTGTTGTTTTCTCAAGTTAAAAAGAAAATCAACTGAAAGGCCTGCGTCACGCAGGTTAATAAAGAACGATTTCCTCCTTCTTTGCTCCTCTGCTCACAAATAGCTTTTTGGAAATGAAATCATCAAGCTCTGAGTAAACATGTGAGTGAACTGTCTCTGCCTTGAGAGCAGTGGCAGCAGACGGAGATGAACACAGTCACTGACAGCAGCTTGTCACAGCTGAGCTTCTTCGTCTTCGGAGAACCCAACTCCACCCGTCCCTTCTGTCCGCAGTCGTCATTCTGGCCGCGGTGCCGAGCTGCCCTTTTCTAACCGTTAATTATTGCATGATTACAAAATGGGTATAATGAAGGACGTGTGGTGAAAGTGGTATTACCTCAGCCTCCGCGCCCCGCAGCAAGTTCTCCTGTTTCTGAAGGACACCATTCACTCGTTCAAAGAACTCTACACTCTCCTCTGAAATCCTGCCAAGAAGATTGACAATTCAGCTCTAAAAATAGCGGCGATAACACTATGTGAATTGACACTAAAGACTGAAACATTACACATAACAGGATTAATGAGTGGAGCATCCGTTGCACCATCACAGTTAATATCACAGTGTGTGTTTCGGAGCCATTTTACTGGATCGTGTTCATGGAAGTGAGTGGGGACCATCTGTGGAAAAAGGGACGCACTTCCTACTAATGATGAGACACTGAACTCCTGCTTTTCAGTCTACTTTAGCCTAATGTCCCCCTGGTCAAAAAGAAACATCTGAAACATGACTGTAAATATTTGTATATCATATCATCTATCAGGGTGTTTGATGAGCATACAAACCATATGACAGCGCACGAGATTTTCACGGCCCTGGCTGGAGCCAATGCAAGGAGTTATATTGCACTGCACCTTTTATACTTTGAAAAGAATATTTTAGGGCCACATTACATGATCATTCAAATTTAGAGTGTTTCACTAACCCAATCCCAAAACTACTTTTCTTCAGTCAAAAGAGTGGATGGAAACCAGTGAGCTCCAATATTTCAGTACCAGAAATAAAAATGTTCAAATTTTCCATTTCAATTCTTAATTACCCCAGCTATCAATATAGAACTGTCAACGAGTCATCAGAGGCTGATTCTTTCTAGATACAAGACTCATAATGATGAAACATTGTGCTTATTATTTGCAAAGCGATGGCGGCAAATGTTTTGTAAGAATTGGGTATTGATTAAAAGGCGGATCTACTAGTTATAACCCCAATTACATATTTAATTTGAATCAATTTTATGGTTGTAGGGCTCAATTCAATTGTTATGATAGCCATTTTAGTTTTTATCGTAAGTGCTGTTTCCAAAAAGCATTTATGACGACAGTTACAAAGACAGACCGATCAATTAAAAGAACAAATCAAAACAATTCCTCATCTAATGCACCAGCGTGGAACCGTACCGATCTCTGACCAACATGTCTGCACTCTGCATGAACCGAGTTAATCTACTTTGATGAGCAGGGCTGAGTGCAAAATGCAAATGATGTTTTCTGTTTCCTCCAGGTGCGAGTGAATCCCCGACTCCTGCCAGCCACAGTTGTCATGGTGACGAGGACACTTTCTCGGTGGGAAGGAGTAGCAGGCAACTCAACACCTTGGGAATCCTCCCCTTATCTCCTCTCCATCGCCACAACTACCAAAACCCAACCTACCCCACCCACCCCCACCCCCAAAAGCCTTCCAATTGCCTTTATGGCCAACCCACCCAGCAGTTTTTAAAATGACACAAGATATGTGATCAGCCATGCCATCTGCCTACAGTTCCTCACCCCCACCTTCACTCTCCCACCCAACCCTCCCATCTTTAGAATCCTTGCTCACTCCTTCTTCCACTCCTTCGACATTATGCAGATGATTCCTCCACAGCAGCCCTGTCACACTCCTTTATTAGCATCATCCCATCACAGCAGGCGTTTGGCAGCCCATCCCAGCACCCACTGACTCTCGCTATGGTGTGAGAAGGTATGGCGAGGTATTGATGAAGACTAATGGCAGCCGTGCTGGGAGAGCTGGTCGGATTTTGACTGGTGACGACCCACAAGACTAAGAAAGGTGGACGAATTCACTGAAAGCCACTTCATAATGTTATCAGTACAACAGCATTACAAATCGTTTAGATGTGTCAAGCGGTAAACAGTGGGTCAACACCTACAGAGCCTAATCCATCATCCCATTGGATGTCTATAAATTATTGCGGTATATAATCAGGGACCCTTAATAAATCTAGTTCTTACCAGGCTGAATCATTTAGTAATTTAAAATGAAATGGTTTGTGGTTTATGAGTCACAGAGTCGGAGATTTGTGAGTAGGGATGTCCGATATTATCGGTCCAATATTAGCATAATTATGTAATATGTGTAAGTCTCATTATGGGTTTTTTCTCTGATAATTAAAACCCGATAACGATCACCTGGGTTTCGCCAATAATGTGTGCCCTAAAAATTTGTTCTTGGGGAAAAACAGCTGTATATGAAAGTAAAAGTCACTAGATGGCAGCATTGCAGCTCATTATTTAATTTAATTTAATTTCGTTAATTCTTTTAATAATCAGGGGATTGTATGCAGAATGCTGGCGGCAGCGAATCATACAGTGGTTGGTACAGATAAATACATAAATATTACGGGGGGGGGGGTTAAAAAAGTCATGGCAGAAAAGATGAAGAGAATTTTCTCCATTGTGGGATCAATATTGTTCAATTGTTCCCCCACTAGAGGAATCTGTCACACTTTGAGTCTTCAAACAGCTGGAGGACAATTCAAGCAGTGTGAACTCTCTGGATTAAAGCTGAGGGAGTATGTTCTCACAAGTGGAAGAAACAGTTACTTTTAACTTTAAAGCGCCTCTGTCTCACTCTGTGCTTTTCTCTGACACGCCACGAGAATAACAAACCAACTCGACGTTGCTAGGAAACAGGTCCTTCAAACATTCAAACACTTGTTTCTCCATCTCTGTAGTCAATCAGAAGGAAAAACATAAATAGAAAAACATTGTACATTTCATCCATCTGTTTTTATTATAACTGCCAACAGGAAGTGTGAAGCTAACAGCAGCACTCTCACTCCAGTCTCCAATACAATATGGCAGTGCACACACAGTAATTAATTGGGCAGACATCACTGTCAGCCATAGCATGAAAGACAACGTGACGTCTGTATGCATTCTGTCAAAATTAAATTTTTTTTCTTTTCTTTTTACCCCGATTCACCACGGTTGTCAGAGCTCTCTGCCCTGATGGTAAGCATGCGTACCTCTGACAATTACGAAACCCTTCACACTCATTTATAGCTACTTAGATCAGGAACATGATGTGGCACTCACATTAATGAGGTTTTAAACTCTGGATTTTCGGTTTACATCCCAGTGCTTATTAGCAATGACATTTTTAACCTATTTAAACCTTAGTAGAACGTGACACTTCTGCACCTGACGAAGAAGAAAAAAATCCAAAAGAAGCCTTTGCGTCAACTTTTGCCTGTCTGGTACTGGAACTGAAGCATGATCACCCTCACCAGCTTTGCTGCACTTTAATTACGTATATGTAATTTGGGTAACATTCAAATATTATCCTAGCAAAGTTTAACTAACCTCAAAGGTAGTTAACAGAAATTTATACTTTAAATCTACTTAATAGAGAAGAATCAGTGTTGGCTTTGCTGTCATTAGTGACCACAGCAGCAGTCGATATATTTGGCACAGGTTTACACCAAATTCTGGCGCAAACCTTTCCCTTCAGGGTTGGGAATAAGGGGCTGTGTGGATTGAAACTTTTGCATGGCTTACAGCTGTTTCACCCTAACCCAATTATTAATTCAATCTGGAGCCAATCCCAGCAGTCACTGGGGGAGGGCAGGTTATTCCTCGGAAAGGTTGTCTGTCCATCACATCGCTTATAATGAGCCTCATAAACTGTTGAAGGAAACCAGAGCAGCCACACAGGAGAACCATTGGTTCTATCTTTTTTGACTGAGCTGAACTAACCAGTCTTCTGCTTTATTAAACTTAACAATTATTAATAACTACAGGTTACTGATAACAGCAGGTAATCTTACGGAAATTGTAAAATTATTGTCAGTCATAGCAGATGTTAATGTAAATGTCAACTTCTGTCAAGCGTTTGTGGTGGTTGTAACTCAGTTGGTAGTGTAGTTATCCTACTTATTATATGTATATATATTGCTTGTTTTGAATTTTAATCCAGATTTGCTTTTCTAATGATGATTATATACTATATATAATATATACTATCGGGCATTTACAATCTTTTTGTAATATTTATACAATGACAATAGAGGCTTAATTGTAATTCAAAATGGAGCTTCTCAAGTTTTGAAACTTTTCTGCCAACATGGTTCACAAAAAGGTTCACTGCTGTACATAAACCACACCCCCTGCTGGTGAGAGACTGTTAAATAGAAATATTCTCAAACCTGTATTGTAGCAGTGTGGGCATGGGGACTAATCGGCTGTGATTTTTGTTTTTTAAAAACCAGTACTTTAAAAAATAAAAAAATAAAAGTGTCAATACGCCAAATACATGTTGCATATAAACATGTAAAAAACCCCAAATTTATCATGGTTTTTATGAAAAATTTAAATTATTGGCTACCACTGATTATTCAATCATGAACATATATGTAAGACCTGCAAGATACATTGAGAAATACATCCTCGTAAACTCATCCACATTTGGAAAACACTTTTACATCTTTGCTGTATGTAGTAGAGTATCATTAAATCGTGTGCATGCATTTGTTTAATATCTAACTGTTAGTCCAAATCGTACGTCATATTCTTAGACAAGTCTGCAAGAAACTCTGTATGAACGATGTATATTATGTATGTAAATATAGTAAATGAAGGGCCAACAATGTGACAATATCACATTTGAATCCAGATCAATGTGGGTTCAGCACAATATCCCAGCCAATAAGACTCATCTGCCACAGTGTCTGGTGCTTCTTAATTTACATTCACATTATAAGACATCATGTGCTTTTTTACCTGTGAACTGATCTATGTCTAATGTGACGTTTAAAAAGTTCAGCCTCGACAGCCTACAAGGTCAAAGGCTATGGAAGAGAGTCTTTTTCTACACAGGAAGACCACAACTGTGATTGTGAGGGTCGATGAATAAAATGAACTGCTAACAGATGGTAAAGGAAACCTTGATTGTAGTACAACTGTACTGCAGATGGAACATACCCCCCCCCCCCACTATTGGTCCAGTGTCTTTGGTCTTTAATAGATAACGTGATCAAGTCCTTAACACAAAATGTGAGGTTATCTTCTGAGTTAAAAATAGATATGGTTGTCATCACTAGTATAAGTTCACACCATGGCAGTTGCCTGTGTTTAGGTTGTCATAGAAACCTCAGGTTCAAGCTATTACTTTTGGCTTCAGATGAAGCTTTAAAACAAGACTGATTAAAAAAGGTTTTCAATTTCACTTGTCACAAAAAAAAACAAAAAAAACAAACAGCGAAACCTTCAGAATAAACCATGGAACGCATGGTACAAACGTACAAAGTACAAAAAAATACGGTTAAGTCCAGTTTATTGTCCAACGCACTCAAGGACACAGGGGTGACAAGGTACACGAGACATTATTGAAGACATTACACAAGGTTCTGAGAGAAAACAAAATGGACAAATACAAAGTAACATAAACTACTAACATACAGACAGGACATATTTTATACAAGTCTGCACAGAAACTGTGCACACACGTACATACAATACATACGTAAAACACACAAATACAAAGGTCATATTGAGAACACACATTTATACAGTAACATATAAACAAATACAACATAAAACACGGTCAAAACATAACACTGTGCAAATTCTAGTTTGTACAAAATCCCAATGTAATGATAAAAAGTAACAACTTATATCCTTGTCTTTAAGCTGCGATTAATTTGAAAATTTTTTCAAGTCATGCGTCCACCCATCTGTCAAAGTTCGATAAATACTGTAAATATGTTTAAAATCTGCATTCTTAAAGACAGTGTTGAAATAAAAGTATTAATTAATTAAAATGTATGCTGGTACACGTGTTAAGGGATAATATTAATCCATATTAATATTTGTCAATTGTAATTTGAATCCATTTGAAAAAACACTGTTTTTAGAGGAAAAAGTTCAAGTGATAGGTAAAGCAAGAGCTGCACAAAAAATGTCGATAGACAACAAATAACAGACAATGAATTCGAAAAAAAAAGAATTAAAGGAACAAACATACCGCATTTGAACTAATCATCGCAATGGAAGATGTCAATGTTTTATTTTTTATTTTAATTATAAAATAAAATAAAATTCAGATAAAACATTTATTTTAAAACAGTAAAGCAGGCCACACATGATGTCATAATGTGACTATCGTCAGAGAGCTGTTGGCGTTAGAGAAGATCAAAATAACATGATGTCATAATGTGACTATCTTCAGAGAGCTGTTGGCGTTAGAGAAGATTTTTTTTATCTGACCTCACCTATTTGTCATATTCAACAGTGTGATGCAGTTTTTTTAAACAACAACGTTCTGGTTATCAGTAAGTGATACCTACTATTTTGGCACAGACAATGACAGATGGGTTTGTTTTTTTTATTTCTTATTGTGTCCTGACATTTTCAAAATAAACCATTCCCTACAGGGTGTATATATGTGATGTGTAGTTGAGGTCCCCTTGATTTGTATTGTCTCACAAAATGTATCTTTATTTTCTTATCCCTCTTAAATGTTGCAACCTAAATTCTAAATATAACCATATATTTATTCTGTGGCCAAGATAATTTTAGTTCAACGATTATGTTTCAATATCCAACAATATGACATATCACCCTTAATTTAGTGTTGTTTCCTACTAACAGACTTTCAAAAATATAGTGAAGTCCACTTCTCTCAAATACATAATCAACTTAAACATTTCAAATGACAAATCATTTGACTTCAAATGAGCTCAATCAAAAAGCCGGAGTCCCCATGTCTCTTGGATATCACATTTTCCCCATACTTATCCATCATTTTGATTATATTAATTTAGACCACTGAAGGAAAGTTAACATTTTTTCACCTAACTCTAAATCAGTGTAAATCTTCTGAAGGAGTGGTTCCATGTTTTAAAGCACCAATTCTCCTAATTTGGATCTTATTAAATACCAAGACTTTTCAGTCCGGAAGGGACCCTTCTAAAATTAATAACCTACCACTGGGAGAGCTGTGGGTTTTAAGTCAGTTGGCTCTGTCATTTTTTGGGAATATGAGAGTGCTTAGAATAGCTATAATGACTAATAAAGCTCCAACACTTTGTGGTCAGGTGTTGCATAAATGTGCTGACCTCAGCGACTCACCTGCGAGGTAAGGGCTCTGGATATTGTGTGAGGGGGCTGCTGGCTGTGGACGCTGTCTCCCTTCGGCTCCTTAGCGACTGGCTCCTTTGCACCTGTCGAAGCACACTGCTTTTGAGGTCCAACAGCGTTGTCATGGTGATTGACTGCCAAAAAAAAACAGTGACAATGTTAGTCTTCTGTCGGCCCACAACTGGTCTATGATTAACAATTAGATTTTCCAAAAACTAGATACTCCATTTAAGGTTTTTTGACTTTGGTTTAATTATACTCATCTTTATACTATGTTGGTTGTATGTCTTCTTAATGCCCCTGAGCCTGCCGATTATTTACCAATTACCCCACTAGGCCCCGTTACCACGGCTGCGTTACTGTTTGACTATTGAGCCTCCAGATACGGAGCGTTAACACAGATATGGTGTAAGAAAATTCAGCGTTTCACCAAAGCCGCCTGAATACGACTTTGGCCTCTGTAGTACATACGCCAGGCCTGTATGTGGCGCCATATCAATCACGCTCTAACATGCTAACACCGGAAGAATTGGAACCCGAAGTTCGGAAAAGAAATGAAACCACACAAACTGATCAACTAACAATGCAGCATCTGATTATTCGGTCCCACATTTTTCACATCCACCAGTACATTTTAAGCTAAACTGTTTGCTTTGCAGCTAGGTTTAATTTCAAAAGAAACATTTATTACAGGGTCATAATGACACATGCTTCTACTAATGCCCTAGATGCAGTGACATTTACCTCACAACTGGGGTTATTTAAAGACCTCCCATCATGTCAAATCACTACCTGCTATGCTCATGTTTCCCCCCCTTTTTTTCCCCCCCAAAAGACCTATAAAATAGGTAGCTTTCCCCCCTGTTCTTTCCATTTAAGATTGTGGAAGACATTTGTGAATATTCAGAAATCTGTTGAGAACAAAACAGCAGCTGATAAAGGAGGGACACGAGACGAGAGAGTGAGTTTGACGACTGTTTCAGTTGACAGAAAAACAGAATCACACAGACTGACACTTTTCACCCAACAGCTAATAGCTATTATCTGTGCATCTGTGACAAGGTTGAAAAAAAAAAAAAACTTTTGCCGCATTTGAACTGATAAATAAAAAATAAAAAAAATAGGGTAAGACAAAAATAGAATGGTGTATCAATATTCTGTGCTGTTTGCAGACAATGTCGATTTGATTTTTTTTTAAGGACACTATTCAAGATTAACCCGTCTTCAAGACACAACAAAAATGTTTCAACTTGTCGTTGGCTCTAGGGTTTGTAATTATTTCAATTAATACGTAATTATTTAGTGACACCTAAAGGGCATCAGACCAGCAGGCTGACGTCTGTTATCTACTGGAGTATTCCCATATTAACTCAGCAGACTGAAGTGTCAATACTCCTACCCTGACAGATTGCATCAAAAAGACATTTGCAAATCAAACCACCCCCTCCTCCTCTCCCCATTGATTCACTGTTGGACCTCCTTCTGTACTGTATCTACTACAGGTATTGTCTCCAGTATCTTCAAATCTCCAATATGGTCATAACAAATTAAAGCAGGGTTCAATTGGAACCATGGACTCAAACCTCAGCCAATAATTAAGGTCACTACAACTACAGAACCTGCATAAATTCAAGGAGTTTGTGTTAATCTCCTCTACACTTGAGGTTTTTTTTAATGACAAATCTACTGTTCAATAGATATTTATTTATTTTATGGACATTTTCCTATACACCTGGAGTTCAGTAGATCAGCAGGGTTCAAAACTATTTTGATGCTCAGTTTGTTCTTTGAACAGCTCTCAACAGATAAGTCACTTCATTTCACAGAAGATGAAGAGTTGACCTAATTAACTGGCAGGTGAGAGTTTGATTCAATGGCATTCTTCAAAACTGAAGAGCTCAAATGATACAATTTTTTTTTTTTTAACTTTTGTGTTTACCCTTCAGTCTTCACTGCAAGACAGCTTTTCACCAGTGTTCTGTCCTTATGACATCTTAAAACAACTGTGTGCTCCGGGATTACATCAAATCTTGTACATGCAGACAGGTTGTTGACAGCTCATAGGCACTGAAGATCTTTCTCCCAGGTGAACAGATTTTAATTACAGAAAGAGATGACTCCCAACTTGATTTCACTCTCTCTCAGCTGTCATCCTTCAGTGACAAAACAGGTTGACATGCCACCAACAGGCTGCCAAGGAAACACCGTCGGGCCAGCTAAATGCCTTTTTTGCTACGGTGTTGTCAAAGTCGTGCCAGGGAAACACTCGTTCACCAGTATCTCTCTCTCTCTCTCTCCCTCTCTCTCTCTTTCTCTCTCCCCTGTGAGAGTCAGGGAGTCTGGCAGCCAGAGTCGCCTAGCTGATAGAAATGGAGTGTCTCTATGGTAACGGCAGACAAAAAGGAGCTGGTAAATACAGGTAAATGAAATTCTGCAAAGGCAGGGGGAAAAGACACAGGATGTTTAAATTCTGTTTCATTAAAACAGCAAAACATAGCAATATATAGAAAGAAACTATACTTTATAAGTGAAAACTGGAGATATGAATTATAATTTATGAAGTATTGGAATGACATTACTTGGGATACAGTGAAAAAAATTACACAGACTGTCAAACTATTAAAGTCAAATTTGATCAAATTAACACTGCTTCTGAAACTGTTACCCACTCCCAAAATCAAAAAAGAGATTAAAACCAGATACTAATATCATTATTTTTGTGGGATTTACTTTTTTTTCTATTTTTCTTTAGCCATTTCCTTTTTCTGTCTTGTTGCTACTGAGGCTTCCTTTGAGGCTATTTCAAAACAGCATCAGACAGAAGTGATGGATTATACTGCTTTGTTTTGATGGAAAATATTTCAAAAGGTATTCAAACACCTCAGGTACACAAAGACCTCATGTGACATGGCAACATTCAATGCTTGACACATCACTCAATAGTTTCCCATAATCAAACAATAATAATTCCTCAATCATAAACACAACTTCTTAAGTCCACAAGTCTATTCAAACTGGGACTACTGCATTTGTACTGACATAAAATATTTAAAAAATGGCTATTTTAACGTACAACTCATACATAAACTAACACTACTACCGCGCTTATATAACACAGGGTTCACTTACTCCAAGGTTATCTGTCTGAAGAGATACCCTTTTAAATATTACCTCTAAGTGACATCAGAAATATAACCTTAATTAACGTGGCTTAAAGGGCACATTAACAGCCTTGTCAGTGTCTATCAATTCACATGTACGACTGGCCTGTAAGGGCATCCAGGCTAAACGTATTAGCCATTTTCTGTGTTTGCAGTCAGAACATTGGACAGGCATTGATCTGACCTGTAGTGCATCCACCTATAGATAACTTGTAATGTACAATCCAGCATAAAAAGAAACAGCGAATCTAGTAGTATCCCAATGAAAATCCCTGGAGTTTGTCAAAGCCCATGACAGGCACTTCATCTGGAAAAAAAAAAAAAAAAAAAACTGACTCACTGCCAGAGAAAATCCCTGGAACTGACAGCTGAGTGCTTTTTTCCCCCTTAAGGGCGTCTGGACCACAGTCAATGCTACTAAAAAACATACAAAAATATGAAATGGCTTGTTAAAGGTACTTTTGTTTCATTCTACAATACAAAAGGGATCTTTGTAGTATTTTATGTCAGATAAATATCACCTCAAATTTAAGAAAAAGGTTTAAAAATGTAAGCCATTAATTCAAGTAATTAACTGCTACACCAGTTTTTCACAAAACTACCATAAACCTGTGAGAATGTCTCCTCCACAAAGAAACACTTGCAGGTGTTTTACAGGATCACAGTTGCTGTCGCTAACAACAAAAGGGCCCTTATTTTAATCTTAACTAAATATCAAACATCAAAATACCTTCTTTCCTTGTTGGGACCTGAAATTCTCCAGCGTACACACAAATAGACTGAACAACAAAAGGATCTTCAATTATAAAGAAAAGTAGTAAAGTTAAAGCCACAGGAGAGCCTTCGCGCTTCAGATTCTGTGTTTACAAAGATGTTGATCGTGACTTTTGCAAATACAAAGCTTTTATTTCGTGTTTGTTAATTAGAGGCCAGACGCTGATGACTGACTATAATGATCAAAGAAGATAAGTGTTCTTCTAATAAGTAATCCACCCACAGCTTCCATCACATTAACTCAATTAGGTCTAAAGACAGTTGCGGCAACAATAGGTGTTTGAAATATCACATTGTGAGACTTGCCATAAACTTTGATGATTCAACATATACAGTACCAAAAAGCATACTGCACCTTGGGCTTTATCAAATTGACTACATTAGTTCAAACAATTACATGGTTCTATAGTAATTATTTCTAAACATGGTCAAAGAAGCCAGCATCCTTTGTGCTTATCCCAAACCATTTTGGGGCTGATTCTCTGGAGGCTGGATCAGTGCGTGTCATGTCAGAATTGCCTTGTCACCGTAGCTGAGCATTAAATTGTCCACCACTTTAAAATGAAGTGCTTCTTAATTTAAAAAGACTGTTCGATAAGCACTCAAAATATGATGATTTCTGGATGTAGTTTACATGTTTTCCCCATTTTTACTCCACTTTCTTCGGGTTCACCTGGTCCTACAATGGACTGACAGAATACCCAACGTGTACTTCATTATATAATACTGACCCCGTAACTCTAAGGAGGTTTTTGTGGTAGAGAAGGGATAAAAGATAGCCTTGTAATAAACCCAACCACCTACTTATGCTTATGCAAAATTAATCATGGTTATTCCTAACCACCTACTTATGCAAAATTAATCATGGTTATTCCAACATGCTACATTTTGTACAATGGCATGTAGAAGGGCTAACAACCTTGTCTATTCCTCTGTCCAAAAGGCATTTTTACTTATTATTACTTATATTCTGAGTACATGCAATGCTATGGCATACGTACAAAAGCTGAATTTATATGTACGGCTATTGATAAAGTTGAGAAAAGAATGTGAGTTGTAGTACGGTTAAGAAGCTGTGTGAAACTGACTTAAACTCAAAGCAGTCATAGAAAAAAAAACTGTGTTAGAATGTCACATAATCTTTGTTTTATTTTCTCTCTCAGTGCATGTGTAGAGCGTGAAAAACACACTGAAGAAAGGATAAGAAACAAGACACTGAAAATGGCTTGTCATTTAACTAACAAAAACTTGTATCAACAGTAAAGTCGAGAGATATTACATTTGTTTTATGACCCGCTGATGGGACATTACCCAACATTTGAGAAACAGCAAACATTAATTAAAATCACGTTCACCCGGATTGAACGCCTTATTAACTATGACGCTGCCGTGTGACATTTGGGTGTCGTTGTTATTAGAAAAATGTGTGACGGGGGTCTTAGTTTATCACAAAGACACCACCAACAAAGCCGACCTTATTATGCGACCTTTTAATAAAATCGTTCATTGCCATTAACCTGCATTTGCTCACACACAACTCAACCTAGTTAGCGCGGTTTGCGGTATAAACCCAGGAAAACCAACTTATTTTCAAAAAAAATACGGAGCTACAACACGGTTTGCAAGTATCTCTTACCTAAATGTAACAGGTCTATATTTCAAATCCACGGAACTTTACATGAAGAGGAAAAATAAACAGATATTGGTAGAACACCAGACTGCAATCCACAGGTGCAATTTAACAGGTGCAGTCTTGATTGTGACGGGTTCTGACGCAGTTGTTTTTTTTTTTCATTAATTAAGAAATTGCAATAAAACAATAAAGAGCGCTCACCTGTGTTTCAGAGTAGTTCCCAGTGTAGCTCTTTCTTCTCAGACTCTGCGAATGCTGTTGTTTTTACCGAACAACTTCTGTCACTGAGTGTTTTTTTTTACGTTTGTGGGAGAGAAACCGGGAGAAGAGGGGCGGAGGGAGGTTTGGGGCAGTGAACGTTTATTTCAGCCCCTTTGCTCTGTTTTCCTGGGCTCACACGCCGCCGATGCTCGCCCAAATATGGTCAACGGAAGCGCAGGGTACTTCAATGCACTGTCTAGTGTCGGGAAAATGTACGTTACGAACGGAGCCACGAACATATTATTAAACCGTGCTGTTTCAATTTACATTTTTTAATATATCATTATTGGACAAATTAATTGCATACTTTAAAAATGTGACTGTTGGGAACACTTTGATGAAAGCATTAATGCAAGAATAGCAACAAAATAAACTGTTAATGTGTATGAAATAAATGAATAAAATATAAAAAATGATTAAATTCAAATTCAATGAATGCTTTTCTTTTTACCCCTTTTTCGCTTTCTTTCAGAATTTTTTGCGCACAAAATAAAAACAGAAACAAACAAACGTAAAGTCAAGAAGTGGCTTTTACAGGGTGCACGCGAAGGCATCATTAGACTGTTGCTGAGGGATGCCACCGAATACATTTTTTAGAGATCGAAGTGAATCAGATCCAGCTGTCAATCAGAAAAGAAAAGAAAAAAAACATTGGTCATCATCAATAGAGACAACAATAGAGACAATAAAGACATTTAATTCAATAACAGATTATTAAAATATGTAGAAATACATTGGAAATGAACAACAGTCTTAGTCGACTACACCTGTTTTGATGATATATCTAGCTGTTTTGTGGATGATATTATTTCTTCTTTCAGCTGTTTCCTTCATGGGTCGCCAAAGCAAATCATCTGCCTCCACCATGCTGTGTCTGCGACCTCCACTATTGTCTTAAATAAATAAATCTTCCTTTTCAAGATTGATACGTTTCTCACCCCCTGATGCTCATATCTAACCATTCTACCCTACCTGCATCATTTTTTCTTCATCTTTCTTATATACTGTCCATTACTCCGGACGGTTGAACCTAGGTGTTTAAACTAATCCACCTTTGCCACCTCTGCTCCTTGCCTCTTTATCGTTTTGTGGCTGACACAGTGACAGGAATATTAACAGCAATCTTATTTAAGAGCACACAACGTGCAGCGGTTTGAGGCTAATGTAATCACAGAGGTCACGTTGGACATTTTCTCACTGTACGTTTCTTTGCACAGACACGTGAAAGCTTATCTACGTCCACTGAGGTCAGAGGTGACTCTCCATCCCTGTCTCCTAACATGCAACCACCATTAGGGGACAAAAGCATTCTAGACCAGGGCTATCAAACTCATTTTGGTTCACAGGCTGCCTACCACCTAATTTAGATGACAAGCGGGCTGGACCAGTTCAATCATAAGGTAATAAATTATAAATTACAATAAGCCCAGGTTTCATGCAAGGAAGTACAAGTATATTAGACATTTTATTATTATTATTATTAAATAAAATATTATTTTAATTTTAATTTTATTTAATATTTATTTTTTATTTATTCACATTTAATGAAATAATAATAATTTAACAAAAATATACTGAACACAAAGTGTTTTTTTTTTTCAAAATTCATCAAGCGGGCTGGATTGCACGCCCTAGTCACTAGGGTGTGCAATCCCATTCATTGAATTGGCTGGTTTTGGCCCACGGGCTGTATGTTTGGTACTCCTGTTCCAGGCAAACGTGGATGCAGCCTAGCATTTGCAGTTACAGTCATGTCACCTAAGTTAAAAGCAAATGCTAATCGATACTTGGTTCACCATAGCCTTGTAATTTTTTTTTTAAATGACCCTGATTATAAAATCACCCCACTGTATATATGTTATGACAAACTTTTTTAATTTCAGCACTGTCTGAAGAGGCTTCTCCTTTGGTGAATGATGAAACACATATGACCCCATTGCCTTGTTTCCATGGACACATCATTAGAGAAGTTCCCCCAGCTGGCTGCCACTGTTGGATGTGTCGCTGGTGTATACCAAGTGAACAACTGGTTATAACCGAGAAAAAGGCACAAGTGACAGCCATATGTAATTCTCAACATGATTTAAACACTCAAGGTCTTTACTGTAACTTTTAATATAAACGTGTTCCTGAGATAATTTGACTGTTTTTGTCATCCTTTTAAACAATGTTTATCGTTGAAGTTATTTTCAGTTTAAAATATAATATAACATTCTTTTAAATAACAGTATTTTCTTAATCTTCCTGCCACTCAGGATTTTTGCTGCTCAGCTCCGTCTGTGTGTGAGAACTCAAACTTAAACTATTAAGTCAATTCAGTGGGGGGTTGAGTGTGGAAAAAGGGTACTCGTGTCAGGAGAGATCATCAGCTGCGCCTTAGTCTTTTTGTTTGTCGGCAGGCAGAGCTATTTTGTTTGGTGGTTCACAGAGGAAGTTAAAAAAAAGTCTATCTATCTATCTATCTATCTATCTATCTGTCTGTCTATCTATCTATCTGTCTGTGTGTCTGTCTATCTATCTATCTGATCACAGACATGGATATGGATTTTTCTCTTTTATAAATACCTAATCTGGTTATTTAATATTAAATTCTATTATTGGTAACCTGGTGTTGCACTCCTTTCTATCTTGCAGTTGTCTATGTTGCATGTCGATCTGTTTCCACTCACAGATAGCCAGTGGTTCCCCTCTTGTTTTGGCTTGAGACCCAGTTTTAATATATTTAAAAACTGGTAATTTTCTTGTGTTAGGACCTGGAATGTTTAAAAAACTACTGTTAATAACTGATATATTGTTGATAACCAATATTTGATCATGCCTCGGATGGACTGTAGGTGCTTTTGTGTTCTCAAACGGGTTTTATTTGGCCTCATTAAAACCAACTGTTCCTGCGATAGCTGTGGGTGTATTTCTCTTTCTACCATTCTTCTGTGTTCTCCATATGCCTGGGGTAAAAATGAAAGTTGTGAGATGGTCTGTTCAAATGGATGACTCATCTTGATTAAAAGACTCTGCTTCCTGTAATACATATACGTGCAGAGGGAAATGCAGAAAACACACCATTGTATTCTATACACAGACTTAAAAAAAACTACTGAAAATTCACTAAAACAACCACCTACTCTACAGATGCATTTCTCCGTCCACTGCAGACATACGTATTGTACACAAACATTAACATACATCACACTGATCCCACCCTGACAGAGTGAGGTAGGGGCAGTGTTTCCTTGGTCCGTAGCAGCCCCCCTGGTTCCCGGGGTTGCTACGGACACTCCTCTGATGGCTCCTGTTCGGTCGGTGCCTCTGGTGGGCCGAGTGCCAGCGGCACCCAGTCCTCTGGTGGATTCAGGGTCTCCAGTGGTTCCGGCGCTCACTTACCCGGAGGTTCCTGAGGCTCTCACCTCTCCGGTGGTTCCGGAGGCCACACTTCCAGTGGTGCCAGAGTCGACGGTGCCCACCCCTCCGGTGGTCCCGGAGGCGATAGTGGCCACTTCCCTAGTGGTTCCGGAGGCGACGGTGGTCACAGCTCCGGTGGGTCGCGAGACGAAGGTGGCCACACCTCCGGGGTTTCCAGAGGCGACGGTGGCCCCACCTCCGGTGTTTCCGGAGGCGACGGTGGCCCCACCCCCGGTGGGTCCGGGGGCGATAGTGGCCACTTCCCTAGTGGTTCCGGAGGCGACGGTGGTCACAGCTCCGGTGGGTCGCGAGACGAAGGTGGCCACACCTCCGGTGGTTCGGAGGACGACAGTGGTTACCCCTCCGGTGATTCCCCTTCCGGTGATTCCTGAGGCGACGGTGGCCACACCCCCCGTGGTTCGGAGAACGACAGTGGTTACACCTCCGGTGATTCCACTTCCGGTGATTCCTGAGGCGACGGTGGCCACATCCCCTGTGGTTCGGAGTACGACGATGGTCACACCTCCAGTGGTTCCGAGGGGGCCTGGGGGCGGTGCACCCCCGGCAGC